ATGCTTGTAGATTATAAGGTATTTATTTTAAAAGAGACTGAACGACTTCTTCGTGAACAAGAAATTAATTTTGCAAAAATAACATCTGCCAACATGAAATTAATAACATATAGATTCGATAAAATTAAAAATGAAATTCAGAAAAACGCACTAAATATTAAGAAAATGGAAAAAGAGATCGATGAATTAAAGGAAGATATAAACTTTCAAGAAGATATGGTTATGAAAAAAATAAACAAAATAAATCATCGCATCGAAAATCAGAAAAGAATCTCTAACGAAAATAAAATTATGGAATCAGAGATACAATCAAAAATTATAAATATAATAATGAAAAACCAATAGATCTAGAAAATCGTTCAAGAAGAAACAATCTTAGAATTGATGGTGTCAAGGAAATTCAGGGCGAAACACGGGATGAGTGTGAAAAAATAGTTAAGGATATTTTTTCCAATAATTTTAAAACCAGCAAAGATATTACCATTGAAAGAGCGCACTTGTCAGCTCCATTAAAAAAAGGGGTAGAGCGAATAATTGAAGACCTCGGTGCAAAAACGATATAGCTCCACTTTTTTATCAGTTTTTAGGTTTTAATGGATTATAAGTATAAAAAAAGAACTTCTATCAGTTAGTATAAAAATGGCATAAATGACAATTAAACACAAGATTTGGAGAAAAATACGTATTCCCTGCTTATAAAATTATTCCGTTTTTTCTATCTCCTGAACAATTTGCAAAAATGGAGTTACATCGTTTTTGTACCGAGGTCTTCAATTATCATCAAACTTTTAAATTTCAACGACAAAAAGTTAATTCTACAAAACTCCAAAAAACTACGCGAAAGAGATATGTTCGTTAACGAAGACTTCGCATAGGAAACAATAGAAAAGCGCAAAAAACTCTGTGATAAAGTGGTTAAATTGAGAAAAGAAGGTAATTAAGCTATTCTTAAGTTTGATTCTATTTTTTGTAGAGATCATAAAAGATAATTTTTTAACATATAGTGTTAAGAAAGTACTTCTAATTTATAACTTAATCAAAATGTCAGAAACAATGACTTTAAATCGTTTACTTTTAATTTTTCAGAAATGAGACACTTCTCACCAGATGAAAACTTAGATCGAGATATTATTTCAATGACATTATTACGGATTGTTCCAATACAATAATGTCATTAAAAGAAAAGAACAAGAAAAAACTTTCAAAATTTGTTTAGTGAATACATTGTTTATATTAATGTGTATTTTTATTGTTATATTTATATGTCATGTATGCATTTAATGCATTTTTTACTTTTATTAACCTTAGTTTTATGTATAATAAGTGTTTTTCTGTTTATATTTTCTTTATTTGTTTATTATACTTACAATATATTTTTGTTATTATATTATAAAAACTAAAACTATTATATTTATCGAGTCTTTGTATTCTTTTATCGATACTCGTTTTTATGTCATCGTTATTAGTTACGTTTTGTCAGTTTATTACTGTTTGTAACTGTAACTATGTATATATAATTGATTGTTGTATGGAAGGTTGTATTGATTTAATTCTTTTAGTTTTTATAATTTTTGTTGACGTATTTAATGAACAGCCTTCTATTAAATATTTATTTGACAATTCCGTTATATATGAATTGTATTTATTATTATCATGTTTTTATTTTATTCATTCTTATTGGGTGTTAATTATACTTACTGGTAATATTATTATTGTTATTCTTATTATTATACAATTAATTATTTTTATTATTGTTGTGTTTGTAAATTTATTGCTATTTTTATTATAACTATAACTATGTGTCTATAATATGTTTTATATCATCAAAGAGGTTTTTACTTTATGTTAGTTTTTATAACTATTTGTATCGACCGTGGAAGTGAGATCTTTTTTCTAGAATATATAATTGATTGATTGATTGATTGATTGTTCATATTACTATCCTAACAAATTAGAAGAATTTTCTTATAAAAATACAAAAAACAATAATTTTGATCAACTAAGATTTCTTCATATAAAAATAAGAAGCCTAAACCGCAATTTCAAAAATCTTATCAATTTGTTACAAGAAACCAACAATTTTTTAAATATAATTTGTTTAACTAAAAGCTGGATAACTGAAAAAGATTTAAATACTACTTCAAATTTTAATCTTCCTTTTGAATTAATTTTTCAAGAGAGACTTATCAATAAACGCGGTGGAGGAGTTCTTATTTATGTAAATAAAAGTACTGCACATTATGTGTGGAATGATTTATGACAGCGACAAAGAAATTTTAACTATTGAAATTTTTAACAATCAATCGAAAAACATTTTACTGAGCTGTTGCCATAGGCCTCCGAATGGTGTGGCTGAGAACATGAACAAGCTTTAACAACATGAACATGTTAAGGAAAACTTTTTCAAAAAATACATCGTTGAAAAAAAAAAGAATTTTATTGTAGGGGATTTCAATATGAATTGCTTCCACTACTCTACGGACATTAAAGTTAAAAAATTTTATAATTCTATTTTTGAAATGGAAACCATTCCTTTGATAAATCCCCCGACCAGAGTAAATCCAAAATTAGCTACTCTTATTGATTACATTCTAACAACTGATATTTTTAACAGTGGCTTAAATAAATCTTAAAAACAGACA